CAAATCAAATCAAATCAAATCAAAAAGTAAAAGATTTTAGTACTTTTTCTTTAATGTTATAGTGTTTCTGATTTACTGACTTTTAGAAACTGTTCCCTACCCCGAGCAGTTTAGCTGAATAGCCATGATCTCCTGATCTAAGCACATGGTGGTGGAGGGACTATAAGGACAGGGGGTGAGGAACTAATTGGAGACACCTGGGCTTAATGATGACTAGGAACAGGTGATAGTGGGCGGAGCGAAATCTGAGGAGCACTGAGTGAGGGAAAAATGAACTGGCAGCAAAGGAAAAAGACATACATCAAACTTTGTAAGAAATAAACATGAGAGTAAATCTAAAARGTACAAACTAAATACAGAATGAGGATCATCATATTCTGGATCATTTTTGTTCTTCAGTTGGGTTACTTGTGTTTCTTCTGAACACAGGATTCACCCATTCATCACCTGCCAAAGCAATCATTTACCTCCTTAGATATATCTAAATCCCCATGTATTCTTACCATTACTACCTCACAGTCTGCTTAGTTTTTATGTTTCCATCCACTTATCCACCTCTGGAGTTTTGCATGCATTTGGGTCTTTAACCACTGGAGCATCAAATCGCTTGCTCGACTTTTATGACTTTCAGGAGACTTTCTAATATTTAGCAGCAAAAACTGCAGCCAGCCACAAAGAGAACGCCCTCTTCCCAACAATAAAATACATTTGCCAGAAAAACAGAAATGTGAATGGCTCTCCTAAGTCAGTTTTGTGTCCCACGAGGGCCACTGTAGCAGCTGAGCTACATGGTGGAGGGCTGAGATACTGATTCTTTATTCTCAGGCCATGAAAAGCCAGTTCTTACTTTCATGGAAYGAAAACAGAGTAATAAATATTATTTTCCTTTTCACCGCCTGTGGTCCTCTAAAAACATCCCCTCTGTCAGCCCCGAGTCTTTCTGGGAATGGTCCAAGTCGTTGGTCACACCTTCTCCTTCCACATCTCTGCTTCGCTCCTCGTCAGATTTGTGCTCTCGAGGCTGGTTTGTTATCAGCACAGCAGCCTGCTSTGGTTCAGGCACCAGACTTTTGGACGAAACAGTCAAGGACTTTAGCTGAGTTTCCTCTCGGCTGATAACGTTACTGTAAAATGTGTTACAGTGTGAGAGAAACAGAGCTCAGGGCTGTGTGGAAGACAGCTGCACAACACTTTTTTTTACTGACAAGCTGTGATGCTTGACCTAAACTGCCTAAACCTCAGAAAAACATCAAATGCTGTAAACAAAAGTATATATACTTAAAAAGTTATACACACTGCAATAAGAGAAATAGAACTAAATCAATTGTATAAGAATATAGCTTCATGAAACAAGAGGAGGTAATGTCTGCAGTCTGTTTGCTTGTCTGTCTAATTATAGGCCAGTTATTACATGGTTACCTGTGTCCATGTGTCTGTTAGCAAAATATCTCATGAATCTTATTAAAACTCCCAGAAAGTAATYACTGGATGTACGCCTATACATGATTACATTTTGGCATCATTCTGGTACAAGATGGCCACCACAGCTGATCAAACTTAGCAAACACAAAAATGGCTTTAATTCAGTCATTTTTACAKATACTGAGCTAAAGTGTGGTTTGCAATAACTGAGAGTCATTTATAACACATATTCTGATGGCTAACAAACTGCTTCAGATATTTGTTTAGTATTGTGGCTTTAAACTGTTGGAGTTAACCTGTCTGTTAGTAAAATATCTCATGAACCACTTGATGTATTTTAATGAAACTCTAAGAACATTAAACTTTTACAAATGATAGCCCCTACTATTGTTTGTTTAAATAATTTTTTTCAAGCTCAAAAATTTTTTGAAGCCAACTAAATGTTTAATGACATTTTTTGTCATTTTTTACAGTTGTGATGAGTTATAATATATAGTACACTTTTAGTGAAACTCCTATAWGTTTTTCTTGCTTACTTCATTTCAGGATTTTATCAATAAGAGGCGCTCAAGTTCAAGATTGTTTATTTTGGACTCACAGCTGAAAAACAGTTTCCCCCCCTAGAATCTGATATTTTTATTTAATTCTTGTGAATATATCTTATCTCACAAAAACATGTAATGGTTTTAGCATTTGAAAAGAGTCGGTTTATGTATTTCTTTACAAGTTTGCACCATGTTCTAAGGTTCCAAAGAAAATGCCTATCACAAGCAAAATTGCGCGAATGACTGTTCTTTTTTTATTTCCCATTCTATTATTTGAGCTCATTTATGTGCAGCCAGAGGGAGCCATGACACGTAATCTTTGTCTTTTGTGGGGTTTCTCATTCAAGATCAGTCTTTGTCCATACAAATGTAAATTTAGACACAAATTGCACTTAATAATTCATGAAGCGTGTTCCGAGCACAAGGCCTGGCCATTTAATTCTAA